CTCCAGCAGAGTAGTGCCATCCTAAACGAAAATTTGCAAAAATCAGCAAGCGTTAATTCATCAAGTAAATATATTGTATATCCTATGACATCAGCTGTCTTCTTCCTTTCACCAAACCTTTTTTTAACACCATAAACATATTTTTCATTTGTAAGAAATGACAGGGAAACCAAAAAATATGTCGCAGTGGCGACGATTGTCAGGGCAGTGAAGACAGTAGCCAAACACAACTCTTACAGAGAAGTGGGGCCAAGGAGGGTCACTCGGAGGAGTCAACCCCAGTTTCAGCCCCAGGAGTTTATTTATAGTCAATACAGCAAGCAGTGAAGCAAATAACAGAACAATGGGCTTTGGGTGAGTAACAATAAGTTTCGGGCAAGGGAGAATGGGCTTCAGGTAAACAAGCCAATCAGTAACGGGACAATAGGTTTTGGAAAAACAAGTCATGCCTAATCGCCTTCTTATCGCTGACAAGTCTACAACATGTTGTGTACAGCATAGAGGCCTGTGGGGAGCTGCAGTTGTCAAGAGTGTAGCCATGTTTAAATGGCATATATCCCCACAAAAATACAAACACTTTTGTAAGAAAGGATAAAATAAATAAGCTTAAATGTTTATTTCTTATTTAAAAAAATAGAGAAATTGTATCTATATAGTGATACTAATATTTTAGTTATTATTATTTTTCATTATTGGTAAAGGACTTTGGAAAATTCCTATATATTTCCCAGCCTTAAAAAAGTAATATCAACCCCCGAGACTATGGCCTTTAGACACCCTTCTAACTTGGAACCGAAGCCACTCCCGGAGATCACATTTCACCCAAATAATAGACAGGCCTATAAAAGAAACAACGCTCCTGAGGAAAGGGCTCCTTAGAACAATCATCTATATGAGACCAAAAGCGCAACATCTGCCCAAAAGCAAAGATGAGAAGGCGAAAGGGGTGGGGGGCAGGAAAACCCAGCGAATGGAAACAGGGAACTCGGTGGTAATGGGGAGAGTGCTGACACATTGCAAGGACTGCAACCAATGTCACAGAGCAACTTGTATATAAATTATTGAAAGGAAAACTAATTTGTAAACCTTCACCTAAAGCACAATAAAATGTTCAAAAAAGAAAGTAATATCAATGTATAGCCATTTAAAATTTCCTAAATAACAACTCTGAGTTAGAACAGAACATTAGAAAAGGTGTACCAATGTAAAAAACAAAAATAAATTTTTTTTAAACATTCCCTTTCTTTTCCACATCCATTCCTCATTGGTCATTAGTTTGGACTTTTTCATGTTACTCAGTACTTGTTATGCTTTTTTTTCCTTTCTCCCTTCAGAATATTTTTCTTAAAAAAAGTGTAAGGTATACATGAATGATTATGTTTACTGTATTATGCCAGATATAATCAAAATAAATGTGTTCCAAGTATGGGGTCACTGACATCCAAACCTGTGGGGAAGTCTCTAAATTGGGCATTAACAGGAGGGAAGAAGAGTTGAAGCATTTCTTATATTAGACGATTGAGGTAGTCCTTTGTTCTCCCAAATCATGAGGACTTTACTGTCTATTTCCTAATGGAAAAAAGAGGAAAACAACACAAAAGGAGAAAAAGGTATGAATCGAAAACAACAAAGGGACTATAACAATAGCTCACAATGTTTTCTTTTTTCATCCCTATAAGAACCCACTGAGGAAGGTACTATTCTCATTTTACAGATATGAGATACTAGTTTAGGGAGTTAAACTGAACCAAGTTGAGAAAATTAATATATGGCACAAATAGAGTTAGTATCGTGGCTTATCTGATAGCAAACTTGTGATCTCAATCAAAACATCAAAATGTCTCTAAGAAAGTTAAAGACAAAGCTTGGAACCAGTGTAGGAAATCTTGGGAAATAATCAAGGTTCTTTTATTTATTGAGAAATAACTTTGAAAAAAACTTAAAAAAAAATGTACTAAATTGTTTCTGGGAACTTGATTTTCCACAAAGAACAATTAATAAGGTGTGTTCTTCCTTTTTTCATCACACGTGTGAGAAAGTGTTCTGAGGGTTTTGTAAATCCTTTCACACAGGAAAGGCCATTTACTCTGGGCTTGCTGGGCAGAGGGCTAGGGGTAGGTCAAGATGGCCGTAATGAGTTCCTTGGCTCAAACACTTCCTGTGTGGTTTCATCTGAGAACACAGGCGCTGTCACCACTCCAGCTTTGTGGTTCTCAGCTCTGGAAGTGAGGAGTATCTCTGACTTTATATTTTCTCTAAGGCCAAATGCCAGGGTCTGTGATTGTGCATATAGTATTAAGAGTATGCTTCCATCTTCCCTCCCAAACCTTTCGTGATGACTGTCAAACATTTTACATATATTATAAAAACCCACTCTGCATTGTTAATACTTTTGTTTAAACAGTCAATTCTTTTTAAATACATTTAAATACTAAGAAGAATTCTTATAGCCATGTAGATACAATTTCGCATGTTCTTCATTTACTGGGTAGAACCATGTTTCCATCTAGTGTAATTTTTCTTTTGCCAGAGCATTTCAAAGAAAAATGTCAACAGAAAAGAATATTGCCAAGAGTTAGAATGACCATAAAATGTGTGGTCCAACCCAGACACTTTTAAGAATGAAAGAGAGTATTGTAATTACACTGGAGAAACATGTGTAAACCTGGGCTGTCTTGAGAAAATTGAGACCATCTTGGGCAATGTGTACATAGGTCACCCTACTGAAATTTTTCAAAGTTGTCACCGAATCTAGCAATATATAAGTCATGGTTTGCCTTAATTAAAGCTACTTCAGTTGATTTTAAGGACAAAAGCCATTTTGGAGGGGGTTGAGGTCTAACTGGGAGGTGAAAAAAATATGTAGAAGGATGTAACTTCATTGGAAATATGTGGTTGCGAAACAGAGAAGACAAAAAGGAGATAGTGGGAGAAGCCATTTCTCCTTACCTCCACAGCAAGCACCTAACTAAATCATTACAGTATCCTTCTAATTAGTCTCCATACGTTTACTCTTGGCCCCTCTAATACGTTCTGTACAAGGTCAGAATATATTTTAGAAATGCAAATATGATCATGTCACTCATCTGCTAAAAAATAACTTCCCATTAATTTATGATAAAGGCCAAAATATTTAATATAATTTTAAATAATCTGTCTTCTCCCTGGGAGCCCTGGTGGTGCAGTGGTTAACAGCTCAGCTGCTAACCAAAAGGTCAGCAGTTCGAATCCACCAGCTGCTCCTTGGAAACCCTATAAGGCAGCTCTACACTGTGCTTATAAGGTCTCTATGAGTCGGAATTGGCTCGAGGGCAACCGGGTGCGAGTCTTCTCCATGCTTCTCTTGTTTTGTTTGTGCCACGGTTCCTCTAGTGTTCCTGTAAGTGTTTCACACTTCTTTCTGCCTCCCATGCTCGGATCACAACCACCTCACACCTCTCCCTTAACTAGTTAATTCTCTGAATCCCTAAGAAATCAGTTCTTTCTATTAAATATTTTCATAGCATCCTATATTTTTCTAGCCATTCTTTACACCGTTAGTAAATGTATATCTGTGCACTTGTGTCATTTATTCTTTCAATGAATCAACAGATATTTATTCAACACACTATACACCAGGCATTCTCTCACTGCTGAGATGATGGCAATGAATCTTATCTCCTTTATCTATCTGTTTACCTGCCTATCCATCTATCAAATCTAGGACAATTGTGTGCTAAGGACTTTTAAGGAATTAACATATATAAAGATTTACTATTTCACTTAAAATGAACTTTTCAAAGAATAAAAGATGATAGAAGGAATAAAAGTGATCAGAAGCACAGTCCCAGGAGAACTTCAATAAACAAGATTAGTGTGATTTGCCTGTCATCAACATATAAAAGGTAAATATATACATAAGCATTTCTCATGCCATTATAGCTTAATCTAACTTAATGCATGGCTCTACCGAGGTAAATACAGTAAAGCTTTAGTGAAAATAGACTTAGTGGAAAGGAAGATTTGATCTGAGATATATTTTCTTTTTGATTCACAAATTATTAAAATGAAATGCATGTAATATTGGTCCTCAGGTGACCTGAGTTATAAGCAATGAGATGCCCTCCCCACCTTGTGGGTGCTAACTACAAACAGAAAAACAGAGTGAAGTTCTCTGTTAGTTGATGATAAAACATGACACAGCAAGTACTTTTTATGCTGAGGTCTACAGGTTTCCAGTTCTGCTCCAAGTTACCAGATCTTTCTCCGACTCACACATGGTAGATTCTTAGCACGAGTCACTGGAATTTTCTTCTCCTTCAGGTATGTTTAACCATTTGTTGTTTCCTTTTAACTCACCACTCCCCAACGCTTGGGAAATGTGGCCAATAGACAATTCTTTGGACTATCTCTGTTTTCTGAAAATTTTTCATAAAAAAAAAAAAAATTATAGTATTTTTTTCTGACTCCAAAATATCAAAGTTTTGCTTTACTTGATTCTTCCCAAATCTTTGACATAAATCTAGTAATCTTTCTTAATCCACTTGCTCGAAAAACTTTTAATAGCAGCTGTTTTGAACTCTGACAAATAAATGACTTTGTCCCGATAGGTATTTTGTCAGCTCTGATGCTGATAGCCAATATCAAGAAATAGTTATCACTCAATTTCATGAAGCAAACTGCAGTGATGTTAGAGAGGGTTGGCTTAGAATTTTTGGAGACATTGACTTTATGGCAGATCTAGAATTGTTCCTACAGTTCTGTGGTAAAGGCAATAATGACTTTCTGCAAATAATTGGTGAAATAGTTGTCTTATTTTCTTTGCTTCTAAGTTCTTGGTGGTATATTTTCCCACATTTGGGGCTCCAAAGTGTTAAGAACATGCTTCCAGCAAAGATAGTAGGCATAGTTACGTATCAACCCCAATGTTTTACTGTTGTTTCATTCCTTTTTATTGTAATATACCCCTTCCCAAATGGTAGAACCATAGAGTGACATCTGAGTTCTTCATCCCCCAGTTTTTTCTATATAAAGATGAATGAGGAGCCCATAAGTCATACTGCACTAAACCCGGACTCACTGCAGAGGCACCCAATGAAACAATAACATGGAGCATAAATCTAGTTCAAGTGAATTGCCATTCGCCAAGAAAGAGCTGAAACACCACAGAGGTTGTAAAAAACAGAAGAAAAATACAGCAGAAGATGTCAGTGGCAAAGGTAACAAAATATTGTATTCTGTAAACTGGTAACTGGTTGAAACCTGTTGCCGTCGAGTTGATTCCGACTTACAGCGCCCCAATAGGACAGAGTAGAACTGCCCCATAGGGTTCCCATGGAGCAGCTGGTGGATTCGAACTGCTGATCAGCCGTAGCTCTTAACCACTATGCCACCAGGGCTCCAGTAAAAAGGTAGAGTGTGCTTAAAATTATGTACTAAACTGTGCCATGTACTAGCAAAATACAAAAATATAAAGTTTCTTTTGAAGTCTAATTAGAGAAAATATACAAGCAAAAAGTTAAATATCAATTTAATGCAGGTTATGATAAAGGCCAAATGGCAAGTATTAGAAAAAAAATTAAAAGAAAACTTGGATAGTTTAGAAATTTCATTGCAAATGTGAGAGTTGATTTAGACTTTAAGGGAAGAGTAAGATTTTAATAGAGAAAAGAATTGGACAGAAATTTCCTTGAGATAAGAATGATAGGAGTTGAAGTGAGAAAAAAATATCGGACATGGCTACGTGGGAGGAGTGGGCTTTGATGAATTATTCTGAAGCCCCGAGAATTGTGGGAGAAGTGAACATGTTGGACTGAATCAGAGTGGGACATGCAGCTGACACTGTAGCCTTGTTATCATTATTTTCTGAAATAAGCAAAATAGGAATATATTTCTTCTAAATTAGGAGCACAAAATACATCAGGGTGATAGCCACCATAGTCATTGAACAGTCCCATTACCATTGAGTCAGTTCCGACTCATAGCAACCCTGTAGGACAGAGTAGAACTACCCCATAGGGTTTCCAAAGCTGCTGGTGGATTCGAACTGCTGACCTTTTGGTTAGCAGCCAAAGGCTTCACCACGGTGCCACCAGGGCTCCTCAATTAAACGGCAGGTGTAGTAATATTTAATAATCAATGTGATTAAAATTTCAAGTCATTGCTTGTTTTTGAGAACTTGAGTCTGAATGCTGCAGGTGTGTCTTTCCCAAACCTAATGATCTTGTGGGAAAAAGATGAAGGCTTCGTGCAGGCTGGAGAGCTTTCTGAAACGGTACAGGCCACTCCCAGAGGTTCCTGCCAAGTTGATGGGTGTGACCCAGAGTTTCTCCATTACTGGTTAATCCTTATAACACATTGTGAGCCTTAATGTATGTTAGCTGAGTTAAGGAAAGGAGGGGAAAAGAGGGGAAAGAAAGAATAATAAACAATATTTGTTTGGCTCCCTAATTTAGAAGGTAGTCAGTATTCTCTGGTAGAGGAAAGCTCAGTGCCTAAAGGAATCCATTGCCATTCTGGTTTTGGATCATTTTCTTGCTCAGTTAATGTCTTTCTTCTTAACTTATGGTGGAGAAGGATGAAAACAAGTGGGATTTGGAAGGAGAATTTTTGAATTAGGGGCTCAGTTCTGTCATTACTTGATTATGTTGTCTTAGGTAAACAGCCTATGTTAAAAATTTAGATTTTTACTTCAGTTATTTCATTATTGCCTAAAAATGGGTAAACATACTTCACAGGCTTGTTGGGAGAATCTAGAATAAAAAAATATTTGAATGCATTCTTAACTGTAAAATGCTGTATCATTTTTATTTTTTGTCTTGTGATCTTGCTTCAACTACTTTTGATTTTGATTCTAGATTTTTTAACTCTTCCATGGAGGCTCATTTCTGGGGTGCTGGGGGTCCTGTGCCTTCTTCTGTTGGTTACAGCCATTGTGGTGTCTCTTCTCACTGCAAACTGTAAGTAACGACAGAGTTTTCCCCATTGTTTTCCCTTTAGGGCATCATTTATTTCATAGAATATGATAAGCAGATTGTCGACTCAGAACAATTTTACCTCCTCAAATTTCTTCCTTTCTTTGCTTTCTTTAAAATTGCTGATTTACTCCTCTATATAACATAATCTTTTAATCTTTTGATATTTAAATTTAAAGGTAGATCTAATTATTATATTTGACTGTTTTTGTAGCATCTTCTGAGCAAACACCTCTCATGATCCAGCAAAAAGGTAGGCAATGTTTTATGGTCTGGTTTCTTACGCTGATTTAAGCAGCAAAGACATTCACTATTTGTATCAACTCCAGAAGCACAGAGCCTTTTACAGGCCAGGTATTCTGGTATGTGCTGTAGAAGCTATAAGTATGAATAAGACATGGTCCCAGCCTTAAGTAACTTATAATGTACAGGCGGTCCCCAGGTTATGAATGCCCAACTTATGTACAATTAGTAGTTATGAACAGATCTCTGTAAAGCCTATTATATTAAAAATTTGAGGTTCATACAATGGTTCATAATAATAAACAAGGTCTACTTTGTGCTTCAAATCAAAACATTATTATTATTACTGTATTATTATGTTAAAGATGTTTTAGTGTATCTGGAAGTGTTTCTTTAATTTTCTTTAATGCGTAGAAAGGTACACTATATTCTGTACACAAAGAGAAACATTAGACTAACTGATGTTAGCTATGAACCGTACCTAACTGTTCCAGCTTACATCCAAATTTGACTTAAAAACGGACTTAAGAACAGAACGTTCGTAATCTGAGCACTGCCTGTAGCGAGACAGAGGTTTATGTGTAACTCACTGTTAGATAAGAATAGAGGAGTGATTTCTTACTAGAGACTCTTGTAAGATTCCATAGGTTTGTAGAGGTGATAGGTTTAATAAATCTGAGCATACATCTTGGAGAGGTAGTGTTTGTATTGGAAGGACAGAATTTCAGTCAAAACTGGCCCAATGCTGATGTCAAGGTAAAGACATTTCAGCTTATACAGGTGCTCTAACAATGGCAAAGAGGTAAGAAAACGTTTGGTCTGACTAATCCTTATACAAGCAGGCACCGAAAGACTTGTGCTACATGATTAATGTTGTAATTAGTTACCATCTAGTCAATTCTAACTCATGGCAAGCCCACATGTTACAGAGTAGAACTGCTCCATGGAATTTTCTTGGCTGGCATCTCAACGGAAGCAGATCACCAGAGCTTTTGGCCATGGTACCCCAGGGTGGGTTAGAGCTGCCAACCTTTAGATTCGCCGTCGAGTGATTAACCATTTGTGCCACCAGGGCCTTATATAAAAGGATCTAAAATGTAGTAGCAGGTTGAAAGAAAAATAAAAAACAGAGGTTTCATTTCTAATTTCTACCTTTGTTATAACTCATTTTTGTTGTCTTTACATAATGCTAGTATAGTGACCAAAAAAAAAAAAAAATATGTACTTCTGTTTGCAAGGTTGTCATTCTTGTCCAGAGAATTGGATTTGGTTCAGATACAGTTGTTACTACTTCTCCAAGGAACAGTTAACTTGGAGAGAGAGTCAACGTGCCTGCTTAGCTCAGAATTCCAGTCTCATGAAGATAAACAGGGAGGAGCTGGTAAGTTGTTACTCTAACCGACTGTCCTATGATACGTGAGATACATGACGATGATGGGCTGAAATAAACTGGGGAATCACTTTCATTTATCTGAGTTCAGCACTAGACAAATTGCTGAAGGATATCACTAGTTGATCATTTGCATCAATTTTCCCATGCAAAATATGGCAGAGGATCTGTATATTACGTACAAGGGAGAAATGTTTTGAGATAATATTTGGAATGTCCTGCATGAAAAAAATGTGTAAAGAAAGAATTCCTAAGGAGACAGTTATTACAAGAAGTGTGTTAGTCAGAGAGCAAAGGACCTCTTGTAGCCAGGCACCAAGACGGTAGAACCTTGGTGGACCCGAAGCTAATGCCATGGTGTGATCAGTGTATCGGAATTAAGAACTCCTATTTGAAAAGATGAGAGAGTTTTCCCAACTCAAACAGTGTAAATCAGCATCAGATTAGGTGCCCTCTGTGTGAGTTCTCCTGACAGAGGAACACGAAGACTAAACAAATGTGCTCTACCAGTCCATCAGTAATGGACCTGAAGAGAGAAGAGATAGATACTGGGGGTAAAATGAGTCCCTTAAAATGAGGTGCTAGTCTTTTAAAAAATCTCACTCCCTTATGCCCAAAGCCAACGTGACCTTTTTACTCATATTTATTTCTTTATTTTATCTCCTCATGAGAGCCGTATTTACCACTGATATTGCATATCATTAGCATCTCAAAAAGGTCCTGGAATATAGTATGGGGTTATTATTTTAAAATAATTATTTTGTGGAATAGATAGATGATGCTGAATATTTTTAAAGGTACTTTGATGCAGTTGATGAAAAAGATAATAATGCAAAAGTTATATTTGCATCTGTTTGTTTACCGCCAGCATTTCTTCTCGTTAAACTCTTTCTTTTGGATTGGAGTCTACCATAATGGAATTGATAAGCAATGGCTGTGGGAAAATGGCTCAGTTATGTCCTCTGATATGTAAGTATTTGACACAATGCAGCCTTCTCTGCTCTTGGTTTAATTACTACATTTCCAAAAGGAACAGAAGTAAAGGGTGTCTGGGGAATAATTTCAAGGGCATTTGAGGACTTGGTGAGACAGAAGCAACTTAAATCCGATTTCATATACAGCATTATAGACTTCAGGAGCGGATGACATAGCTCTGTTGCTTCATTGTCCTTCTCCTAAGACTTTTTATTACAATCACTGACCACATTATTCTACAGCAACCTGCCTTCCAGGTCATGGATATATCCCTAAAGTCCTCATGTTTTTTAATATTCCACTCACTATGAATCTAAAGGCTATGGAGTCTAAAAATATTTTCTCCCCACCAGAAGAGTTTCCTTAGGCTTGCTATTCATAGGCTTTTTATTGTTTTATTTTTAATTTCTCTGTCTACTTTTATGATCAGTGATAATTCATGTGGTTTTCTCCCTGTTACTTTTATGCTTAGCTGAAATTTCAATTAATTTTTAAGTTTCTCTCATCTATCAATAATGTTTCAGTTTATAAATATTTTACTTATCTGTGCCACCAAGTGATAAAAATTCTATTATATTACATATAGATTATATTTTTTAAATTACATGTACAATTTCTATGTTTCGTCTCTGGGATGTGCATATTATAGAATTTCATGATAATGAGTGTGACATTTCTTCTATTTTAGCTTTGACTGTCATAGACATCAAAAGAAACAAGTCTGTTTGTCTTACAAATCAAGAGACGTTTATTCAGGTGATAATTGTGAAACTAAACTGAACTACATCTGTAAGAATCATCGTATTTAAATGTTTATGAAGTCACAGAAAAGATGAAAATTACTCTTGTCTCATGCTGGGCCCTGACACCACTGGTCGTTTTCCCATTCTCTGGAGAAAATATGTAAATTTACATCTTTGGTTTAATAAAAATAGAATCCTCTAAAAAAGTATTGCAATGTCATTCTTTATTATGTTTTATACGTTTGTTGATTTAGATGTGACTTTAATAAAATAACACGGTGAAAATACTTAGGCGACTATATTTATGCCTATGAACTTTAGGAGACATTGTAATAAACGGTTTCTGAATTAGACGATAAGGCTACACTGTACTGGGTATTAAAGAAGCTGTCTTATGTAAGGTGACACTTTTGTCACTACCTATTTTTCTTCCTTTTTTTTTAACATATAGGTTGCTTTTTTGGGTCTACAAAATTGTCAAAGTATAGTGTTAAACAGTTAAACCCTGACCTATTATAACCAGAGGAAAAGATTACTATGATCACTCAAGAAATACCATTGTTGTATACATTTTGGAAATTAGCTTTCAGCTTGTTACAATCATGAAGTTCAACTTATTTTACGACATGGTCAGATGTCTTAGACAACAAGTTAAGAGATTCGGGTGCAAGTCAAAGAGTGAGAAACGACCTTTGCTTTCAGATCTCAATTGCCAAATTTGTACTTTGTTAAATTGTTTTGTTAATTGTGTAGTCTCTTTTAAAATCAGAAAGGAACAATTGGAAATTATTTGCATTTTACCGTTGCAAAGGTTTTAGAATTATTAAAGCAGCACTGAGAACAAACTGGGTTTCCTCTCCTTCGAGTCTTCTCAGTGAGGATTTTTGTGGCGTCTGCATATATTGAGACAATAAGCACCCTTCTTTCTTTGTTTTGAAAGACTTGGTATAAAATTAAACACCAGTAAGACATTTCCATAAAGTCCGTTCCAACTCATGTGGACCCCATGTGTGTCAGAGTAGAACGGTGCTATGTAGGGTAATTTAAAGTTTGATTTTTTTGAAAGGTGATTTCCAGGCCTTTCTTCCAAGACACCATTTACACCACTCAGGGACTCCAAATAAAGCAGAAGAGTTAAAAGAAAAAAATCCTTACCAGTATATGTATTTTAATCCAGCAGAAACAATTTGATCGTGACAGAAGAATTAGATACACTACTTAAGCTTAGTATCAAGCTTTGGTTTCTTCCTTTCCACCACACCTACGTTACTGCATTTTTCTTCCCTAATATTTCCTTTTACAAACAGTCATTATAAATAAGAAAATCAGTAGCAACTTCCATAGTTTAGCTTTTTGCCCTGGTATAGGTCTTCAAGAAGAAGTTGAAGTTTCAGGAGGTAAATTGAAGTTGTCAAGGACTTCATTTTACTTGGATCCACAATCAATGCCCTTAGAAGCATCAGTCAAGAAATCAAAGGATGCATTGCATTGGGCAAATCTGCTGCAGAAGACCTCTTTAAAATGTTGAAAAGCAAAGAAGTCACTTTGAGGACTGAAGTGCACCCGACCCAAGCCATGGTATTTTCAATCACCTCATATACATGCAAAAGATGGACAACGCATAAGGAAGACTGAAGAAGAATTGGTGCCTTTGAATTATGGTGTTCGCAAAGAATATTGAATGTACCATGGACTGCCAGAAGAATGAACAATCTATCTGGGAAGAAGTACAGCCAGAATGCTCCTTAGAAGTGAGGATGGCAAGACTTTGTCTCATATATTTTAGACACGTTATCAGGAGGGCTCAGTCCCTGGAGAAGGCCATCATCCTTGGTAAAGTAGAGGGTCAGTGGAAAAGAGGAAGACCCCCAATGAGATGGATTGACACAGTGGCTGCAGCAGTGGACTCAAACATAATAACAATTGTGAGGATGACACAGGACAGGGGAGTGTTTCGTTCTGTTGTACGTAGGGTCGCTATGAGTCGGAACTGACTCGAGGGCACCTAACAACAAAAATAACATGCGTCTTCATGAGGGTGTTTTAAAAGAGTTAAGGGTGATGGAAGTAAATTGGAAACAGGTAATGATGACGGTTACACAACACGATGAATGTAATTAATGTTACTGAATTATACATGTAAAATATGTTGAAATGGTGTGTTATATATCTTTTTACCACAGTAAAAAATGCGGTTACTCACAACAGCAATGTATATGTACTTGAATTTGTCAATGAAGGGCATTTATGGTGGCAGAGTTACTCCTGTGGATGGAGAAAAGACAATCCTGATTATCCCAATTTCTATAAAACTAAGAATCATTTTTCAACAGACTCTAAAGAGAAATAAAGACTTCTTTTGTAATAGATACTTTTTTTTTCTATTTGAGACCTCCCTTATTCCACGTAATATACATTTCAGCTCTTTTATAAACCCGTATGAAGGGAGGATGGCCAGATAGTCTTTGTAAAATACAGAGTCACTAGAAAAGTAATTTCTTGTAAAATAGAACACTTAAAAAAATATTATTCATCCATACTATGACGATTGTCCTTAATATGAGTAACAAACTCATTTGAGGCCTGACCTTAAAAGATAGAGAGAGAAGTACTTAGACTCAGAAAACTATCATTAACAAAACAAGTAAGAATGTTCAAGAATTCTCTGTAAGCCATACTGAATAAAAAGAGAATTTTTTTTTCTGAGGAAACTAACAAACAAACAAAAACAGATGTTTATATAACCAGTTGCCCCTGAGCCAATTTCTACTCATGGTGGCCTATGTACGTCAGAGGAGAACTGTGCTTCATGGGGTTTTCAACGGCTGATTTTTCAGAAGTAGATCACCAAGCCTTTCTTCTCCGGTGCCCTGGGGTGGACTCAAACCTCCAACCTTTCAGTAGGATATTTTGAGTTGTTGAAAACTATCCAGTGAGTTGTGGCATACTATCTACCCTGTGGCCCTATGACCCCTGGGAACTATAAATGTCTGTGACTGATGATTTCACTGGATGGAGCCTCTAGAAAAGGGAGGGAACTTCATTTTGGATGTACCTTATGGGGTTTTGGACTTTCTGCTGCTCTGAACATGGTTACCAGGTACATCTCTTTTGAAAAACAACTATTAACTTGATTCTGGGTTTTTGTGGAAACTGAATGCTTGATCCATGGGGATCTTGTGACTCCTTGGCCTGACATTCCTATTTTGGGATGGCTCAATTTGCACTCAACGATTAGTGATGTGAGAAGGATCCAACAAGCCTTTGATGTCAAATGGAAGTAATATATTAAAGAATACAGCTAGCCTTGAGGGCTGTGGGGACCATGGACTCAGGGAACATCTAGCTCAATTGGCATAACACGGTTTATAAAGAAAATGTTCTACATTCTACCTTAGTGAATAGTGTCCGGGGTCTTGAAAGCCTGTGAGCAGCCATCTAAGATACTCCACTGGTCTCACCCCTTCGGGAGCAAGGGAAAATGAAGAAAACAAGATACAAGGGAAAAATTAGTCCAAAAGACTAATGGACCACAACTACCATGGCCTCCACTAGACTGAGTCTAGTACAACTAGATGGTGCCCGGCTACTACCACTGACTGCTCTGACAGGGATCACAATAGAGGGTCCTGGACAGAGCTGGAGAAAAACATACAACAAAATTCTAACTCACAAAAAAAGACCAGACTTACTGGCCTGACAGAGACTGGAGGAACCCCAAGAGTATGGCCCCCAGACACCCTTTTAGTTCAGTAATGAAGTCACTCCTGAGGTTCACCCTTCAGCCAAAGATTAGACAAGTCCATAAAACAAAAAGAGACTAATGGGGCACAATAGCCCAGGGACAGGGACAAGAAGGCAGGAGGGGACAGGAAAGCCAAGGTCGAGAAGGGAGAGAGTTGACATGTCGTGGGGTTGTTAACCAATGTCATAAAACAATACATGAACTAACTGTTCAATGAGAAACTATTTGTTCTGGAAACCTTTATCTAAAGTACAATGAAAAAATTAAAAATTAAAAAAAAAAAAAAAAAACAGCTGGAGGAAGACAAAGCCACAGAGTCTTTTTCCCTAAAATGGAGACCCATTATGTATAAAAGTTTGGAAAATGTTTACATCTACATCTCCTCGCAATCTTTTGTGATAAGAGTTGTTCTCTGTACATCTGTCACATCCATAATGATTTCTAATTTGAATTATTCAGTGATGGCATCCTAAGGAAGACTATTTACTCAGACTTGAACTCTATTTAATAAATTGACCCTTGCTTACGGCTCAACCTTGTACCATACTCTCACTCAATTTGACTGCTTGAACCATATGAATTTTCCAATATTTGAGTATTTTGACCTACCGAAACAGCAATTCCATACGGTTTAACGTAATAAATGTTCCTGAAGTTCTGAACACCTCTATACCTTTTTGCATATAGCCTGCTCATCCAGAATGCCTTCCTACACTTTCCCAATCCCATTCCCTTTGCGAAGTGACTCAGCCCAGAGCTTGTTTCCCAGCCCCCAAGCTATCCCCACCCACCACATGCCTATGCTCCTCCCAGACTGAATTGGGTGCCCTCCCCTGGTTCCCAATGATATCTTTAGCCCATTGATTTAAGGTGTCTGTTTGCTCATTTGTGTCTCCCGGATGGATTAGGAAGTTCAAGGAGACAAGGAACATACTGTGTTCCTCTTTGCATCAGACTCCATCCAAGCCTGGCATGTGGAAAGGGCTCCATAAACTGCTGAATGAACCAACGAACAAGCAAGTGAATGAAATGCGTTAGTGAGAGCCGCCTGCAGCTGGTCCACGTATGGATCTGTACTTGCTGCAGGTCTTCTTCTTAGAGGCTGCGGTTAATGTGTCATCCTTTGCAGGAAGACATCACCAAATAAGAAAATAATACAGCTAGCCTAGTCCCAGTAGTATCTTAGCTTTACCTGAAAAAATGGCACCACTTCCTTTGGGAGAAACTGTATCCCCACCTCCAACACCTAAAGAGAAGTGTTGGACGCAGTGGGTCTTACCAGCTGCCGGCTTCACAGAAGGCTTGCCTAAACAAAACCTGATGTGGTCACTGTGCCTCTGTGTCTGTTCAGGCTGAGAAGCAGCTGTGCAAATCTAAAGCTGACCTGATCACTCAACTCAGTGAGCAGAACTCCTAACTCTGGTCAGGACTCCTCTTGATGAATCTGGCGATATTTCT